CTGCAGTGCGCAGTCTCCAGCTCCTGGCCTGGGTCCCTTTCTCGCCCTGGCTGGCTGACCACCACAGGGTGCAGCCCTCCTCCACCTGCTGGTGTTCGAAGGTTCAGGATGGAAGCGAGTCATTTCACGGAAGGTGGAGTTACTGGCTTTCAGGAGTCTCCGGGGGGTTTTAATGAACATTTCCTTTTTTCCTGTTTTCACGAGTCATTTGGTGTGGGGTCTCCTCGATGCTGCCTACCTTGTAAACTGCGAACATGTTCCTAACTGATGTCTGTCTGTCTCTTGCTGATGTGCAAGAGCTCTTTAGATGAAGGAGATTAGCCTTTTGGATGAGTTGCAAATATTTCTCCCAGTTGATCATTTGTTATCTGAACCTTGTTTACAGTAGATATTAAAGGGCCTCATGGCACAGTGGGCAGCTAACGGAAAAGTCTGAAAGACGAGTCTTCCATAAAGACTGACAACCTCAGAAACCTACAGGGGCAGCTCTACTTTGTCCTCTAGGGCAGAGGTTCTCAACCTTCCTCAGGCCACAACCCTTTCATACAATTCCTCAGGTGGTGGTGACCCCCCACCCATAAAATTATTTTCATTGCTAATTCATCACTGTCATTTTGCTACTGTTATGAATCGGGTGACCCCTGTGAAAGGGTCATTTGACCCCTAAAGGGGTCAAGACCCACAGATTGAGAACCGCCGTTCTAGACTGACACCAGGAAGAAAGGCCTGGTGAAAGGCATGTGGATAGCACGGCAGGGCCAGGCATTGTTTGTTTCCCTCGTGTACTGGGTCGTCATGAATCAGGAACCGGCTTGCTGTGAACGCAAGGCAGCCTCGGGGCTCTTGGCACCTCTGTAGCACTCGAGGGCAAGCTGCATGTCCGCTCTGCGCCCTCCCCAGTTGTCCACCATGCCACAGGACTGCTCCGCCCGCCTGCCCTGCTGCCTATACACCTTGCTCAGCAACCCTCACCTGCCTGGCCCGAGTCCTCGTCCTCCTCGCCTTTATGGGGCCTTCCAGGACGGCCCTGCACTGCACCCTTCTCCTCCGAGAGGAGAGCGCAGTCAGGGCTTGCTGTGCTGGCGCTTCTGAGCCGCCCGACCTGGAATGAGCCATGGGCTTGGCCTTCTTTTCTTTTCTTAACCGGAAGTGAGGGCAGGGTGACTCTCCCCAGAGACCAGGCTCCAGCAAGCGGGAGAAGGAGCAGAGGGCCCTGAGGCGTGGATGCAGCCAAGGAAGGCTTCTCAGAGGAGGTGGCTGAATGCTGCGGGCTGTGGACTAGCTTGTGACCACGCCTCCTCCTCCGCTCCAGGCCTGTGCAGAGGCTTCGAGGTGTGGGGAGTCAGAAAGAACAGGCTTGGCTAGCGGCACGGAGGGGCAGACTCCGGCTGGATGACCTTTCCACTGAGCTAGCTTCCTAAGACAGTCTCTGCGCTCGGTTCTTGGGAGGGGCCGTTGTCTCCACCCCGCTTCCACATCGCTCCTTCCAAGCAGGTCCCAAAACCCCGCAGGGATGTAGAAGGCCCCTTGTTCCTTATATGTCTGCTCAGCTTTCGGTGCAGTGCGGTGCGGGTGGGCGGTGGCATTCACTATCCTGTGCGCAGGGCCAGGAATGTGGCAGCCCCCCAGTAGAGGACACCTGCCTCATTATAGCCAGCGCGAAGCCAGCTGCATTGGAGCGCAGTCCGAGTGGCACAGTGGGGAGGTGTCCCGCCGCTAACCATGGAGGTCAGTTGTTCGAACCCACCATGGGAGAACCCCCTGGAGATCTACTTAAGATCACTGTGCTGGAAATTAGAGAGGGGGAGAGGGGTTCTACTCTCTCATCTCAAAGTAAAGGACACATGACGACAACCTCATTTAACTCGCATAACCATCCGCTGTTCGCCGCATAACCATCCGCTGTTAGCCGGGAGCGAGTCAGATCCTTTAGCTGCAGTAGCAGCAGCATCACCGTGTCAGCCTGGGTCTGACGTCCAAACGCGCAGCCAGAGTGCGTTTGCAGCCCTCTGTCCGGGCTCCTCCCTGCACCGGTGAACGAACGTGGGCCTGAGGGGGGAAATGACATGCCCAAGGTCACACGGCTCCTTCCGACAAGCTCCCCAGCGCCTGATTCAGACTCCAAGGTGCTTTCCTCCTGTCTCAGGGTCAGCCTCCTCCTCCCGCGCAGAACAACTGGAGCCAAAAGGCTCGCTGTCCCCTGGAGACTTCAACCAGAGACGGGCTCCAGGTCCAGCTATGCATATAAATGGCCTCTCTGAGCCAGGGCCCACTGACCACCCCACTCCTGAGCCCTTGACGGGGGCTCCAGGGGCCGAGGGAAGGCGAGCCATGAGTGTGGAGAGTTTGAAGCACGGAGCTGCGCTGGGGAAATGTGCAAGGATATGAATAAATTTGAATAATAATGAGGGCAATGCCGGAATTAATAATGCCGGCTGCTCACCTGACCCACCCCCGCCCCCAGGATCGCAGGCACCCCAGGCACCTGCCACCCTAATCCTTGGGAATGTAGGTCTCCTGCAGACCTCAAGGGCTGGATTTGCCTGTTTCCCAAAGAGTGAGGGAGAGGCTGCCTCCTGGTGCTGACTCAGACCCTGCCCTTCTGTCTGCTCCCGCCTGCTCCCCATCCCCACCAGGCCCACCCTGGCCCGCCCCCCTCACTTTCTCAGTTCTCCCTGGTGGAGGTTGCGGGAGATTCAGCTAAAGGCGGCAGTCGACAGGACAAGCAGCCCTGGAGAAGAGGGCGCTCCTTCTGCCCCCGCCCTCCGCTGCCCTCCATCCCGTGACAAATAAAACCATGGATGCTGACGCCTGGGGCTGAAGACTGGGAAACGCAGTGGTTAAGACCGCACTGCTGAGGGAGGGCATGAGCTGCCTTTGCCCCCAGGAGCTAAGGGATCCGCCTAGGAGGACTTCCTGGGGGCGAGTATGGGCAGGCTCAGGAAGAAGGGAAGAAATCAGTCTGAGGAGAGGAGCGGTGAAGGGGTGGAATGAGAGTAGGGCCCTGTTCTGTGGTGGCTAAGAGGGTCAGGAGGTAGGTGTTGGAGTGGAGAGGGATGCGTTTGTATTTACTTACCCAGAGGAGTGACAGCAGATGAGAGAAATTACGGAAAGTTGGGTTTGGAAAAGGATTGGATTTGGGGATTATGGGCTCCGCATGAAACGTGGGAGCCCGGGAGGAGCAGGAGAGGGAGGAATCCCCTGAGTTCTGGGGAAAGCTCATTTTGGTTACTGTGATGTGACAAATTGGGGGCACAGTGAGGAAGCTCCTGACCTCTCCCACTGCGGTCCCCAACTGCTCCACTTCCTCTCCCCTCACCCAACAGCCCAGTAAAGGAAGCTGTCGCTCACAGCTCAGGAAGCTGCTGGGTGCCCTGCCCAAGGCCCAGGCCTGCCCCACACCAGAGCCCACCAGTGCTGGGCGAGCGGGTGGGTGGGAGCGGTGGGGGAGAAGGAACCCGGAATCCAATTCCCTGCTCCATTTAGGCTCCACAATTAAAGGCAATTACTCTGCAGTTCTCTAATCAAATGCTCCCGGCCGAGCTGCCAGCCGGGCAGCCATGTGTAGCTCCCGCAGCCAGAGGGAGAGTGGAACAGAAGTGGAACCATCGGCCCGCAGCTCCCAGGGTGTGGGGGGCTGAGCATAGGCAGGGGTGCCTGTGTGTACACACCCATGCCCAGGGGCTTGGGAGCAAGGGGTAGGCACATGGAGGTTGCCAGGAAATGTGTTCAGAACTGCTGGCTTGGGGGCACCACCTGGACCAGGGAAACTTACCTACCTGTGTGTGCATGTGTGGGCACACAGATCATGACGTGCTTGCCCACAGGGGCCACCCTGATGCCCTCACTGGGGGCATTCACAGGGCATCGTGCCTGGGCCACCCTGCATGTGTGTCAGCACATGGTGACATGTACGACATACGTCCTGCTAGGGGTCAGCTGGTATAATCATTTGTATGGGCCAAAATTACAAGCCTTGAGGGAGACTGTGACATCACCAGCAGCCTTTGGGGCAGTTGTCTTCCTCGACTGTGTATGTGCCCTCATGCAGTGACACGGGGGAGGGGGGAGGCAGCTGGCCATAGTGGCACCCCAGTTCTGCTCTGTCGTTAGCTTGCTGGGTGCCTGGTCAGCTTCTCTTGTCCCTGGGCATCCCCTCAGCATTCCCATCTGGAAAATGAGGGGGCTGAAGTGGACTCACCTCCAGGGCCCTTCTATAACATGCCCCACTTTCTATGCTTTCTAAGCCCTCCGTCCCAAGGGCCACAGAGGGAGAAGGAATCCAGGACGAGCCCCCAACCCTCCAGAGCGTAGTGGCTGGAGCTGACGTGGGACAGTGACCAGAGAGCTCACCTGGCCACCCTCAGCTCCCTCCCTCCGGCCTGTTGCAGCAGGGGAGACTGGGACTGGGGGCGGGGGAGCCCCTCTCCTCAACCAGTGCTTTTCCCCTTCTGCCAGGGACTCAGACTCGCTTCAGCCAGGAGCCAGCTGACCAGACTGTGGTGGCTGGACAGCGGGCCATACTTCCCTGCGTGCTGCTCAACTACTCGGGGATTGTGCAATGGACCAAGGATGGGCTGGCCCTGGGCATGGGCCAGGGCCTCAAAGGTGAGTGGGGTGCCCAGCCATCCCACCTGCAATAGAGACCCACCGTCACTCCATCATCTCCCCCACCTCGCTCCTTCTCTATGCGCTTGCCTTCAGGGTGCTGCCCTGCCCCGCTTCTGCCTGTGTGTGTGCCCTCTACTCCTGCACTCCACACTCCACACTCCACACACGGCCTTCCCTCCTACTGCAGACGAGCTCAAGAAAGGCCAGCAGAGCCTGAGGGACCAAGAAAGCCAGGAGACCTCTACATAACAGAGATGGAGATGGAGAGACAGAGGCCCAAAGAGGTGCTGGGAGACAGCGTCCTCTTCTCCTGCGGGAGGTGGGGCACAGGCCCCTTCTGATGAGGTTCTCAAAGCCCTGCTGGTCTGCCTGGCTCTGCTCCAGCCTCTCCCTTCCCCCTGCCCAGGCAGTGTCTGCTCAGAGGCCAAAAACTCATTTTAATATCAGCCTGAACACTTATTTATTTATTCATTCAACAAGCCTTTATTAAGAACTGGCTGTGTCGTCTGTGCTGAGGCAAACATAATGAGTCAGTAACAAAATAAATAAAACACCAACCTCCTCGATTCCAAAGCAAGTGATGATTCCCTGGGGCAAGGCCATCCGGCACAGCAGAGTCGTCAAGGGCTGGGTGCCACTCCCGCCTCGGCCACTTCCCCACTGGGAGACGACCTTTGGGCAGCCGAGTCCCCTCTCTGGGCCACGGTTTACTCCTGTGTAAAACAGGCAGGAGAGTCCCCGGGATGCCTGCCTTTGTGTGCGCTGGTGAGCTTTGGACCCGATGAGAATGTGCTTCCTGAAAGCATATGGTTAGCCGCCAAGCAGGGGGACCCATAGGATGGGAGGGGAGGTGCGTTGGGAGGACTTGCTGTGGGTTGTGGGTGCCGGTGCCGGCGCAGGTGCAGGTGGAAGGGACCTGTCTGTAGAGCAGTCTGCATAAGGGAAAGAGATGGGTCTGCAGGGTCTATTGACGGCAGAAGGAGAAGGGAGCAGAGTAGAGAGAGATCAATAGATATGGAGTGAGAAGAATCAATAGCCTCTGGACAGAGGAAGCTAATGGGAGGGAGCTGGTGGTGGGGCTGAGAGAGGAGGGCAAGGGAGTGGGAGGGTGAGTGTGGAGAGCCTGGAGGAAGGGGGAGGGAGAGGAGAGCTGGGACTGCCGAAGGCCAGAGGTCCTCCACCCAGCCTCTCTCGGTGGGAACCCAGACTCTAAGCTCAGGGGCTCCCCCAGGGAGCAGGAGGGCCCTTGTGGCATCCAGTCCCCCGCTGGCGGCTAGGGAACAGGGTGAGACGTGTCCACTGGGAGTGCCTGGCTCTTCTTGGTGCCCACACATTCCCCCTCTCCCCTCCCCACCCCCTGCCTCTCCACACCCCCTTTCTTCCCTGTTATTATGAGAGACATTTGTCTGCAAACAGCCTCACAGATTTCATCTGCTCCTGCTCATCTCCCCCTGCCTCGCAGCTCCTCCTGCTTCATGGCGTCCAGCCTCACAGTGTGCAGTGTGTGAGGGGTGACGTCACAGTGTCTGGGTCTGGGACCAGCTCCCCTGCCCTGGGTGTCCCAAGAGAGGTTAAAGGGACAAGGGCAGGCAAGGAACTCGGAGTGGACCCTGGTGGGGGTGAGGGGTGCCGTGTGGGGAGGGATGGCCAAGGCTGGTGTGGATGCTGGCTGAGCTTAACCCTGGCCTTACTATCTGCCCCTGCAGCCTGGCCACGGTACCGGGTCGTGGGCTCCGCGGACGCCGGACAGTACAACCTGGAGATCACAGACGCCGAGCTCTCGGACGACGCCTCCTATGAGTGCCAGGCCACGGAGGCTGCCCTGCGGTCCAGGCGGGCCAAGCTCACCGTGCTCAGTAATTACCCCAGGACCCCATCCTCCACCCCTCTGCCTCTCCCTCCACTGCCACCGAGCCTGGCCCAACTCATAGCCGCCCTATATAGGGCTTTGAATCACCCCATGTAGGCTGTCAGCCTCCTCTGTCTCCCAAGCAGTGACTAATGGGTTTGAACCGCTGACCTTGCAATTAGCAGCCCAATGATTAACCCACAGTGCTCTCCCTGCCTGCTCCAGTTCCCTCCCTCTGTAACTCCCCAGTCCTCCCCTCCATGTTCCTGGCTTCATCCTGGTCCCCACTGTCCCCTCCCAACTTCCCGAGAGGGGGTCTGGGGCGGGCAAGCTGTTTGGGGCTCACCTTTGCTCCCACCCACCCCCAGGCAGCTCACAGACAGGACTGCAGTCTAGTGAGAGAGAAGACGTGCCGGTCCCTGCTTTGCCCAAAGATGTAAAGACCGGGCCCCTCCCTTCCCCAGCCTCTCCTGGCAGGCACAGCTTGTGGGTCTAGGGGTCTCTCCCATATTCCCTCCCTCTTCTCTGCCTCCCCCCACCCCGACTCTCCCAGTCCTTCTTCCTCTCCTCCCTCCCTGCTCCCCTCCTTCACACTCACCTCGCGAGCCCCCTCAGGGAACAGGGGCACAGAACCAGAAGGAATGAGCCGTGCAGGCTGAGCACCGAGTGTCTGAGACTCTAGCGACCGTCTGTGCCGGGATGGGCCCTGTCTCTTGGAGGCTTTGCTTCAGGCAGCAACCCCCCCACAAAGAGTGGGGGTGGGGGAGGGGGCCGAGCATGTCCCTCCATGGTAACACCCGAGGCTGTCTGCAATGAGGAGACTCTCTGGGACACCCTGCAAGAATGAGGCCCGCTCCGAGGTGCCCCTGCCGCACTCTGCCCCTTCCGCTCCCTCTGCCTGCGGCTCTCGCTCTGTGGCCTCTGCTCTCTGGTGTTTTCTGTTCGGACTGGTCTCTTGACGCCTTTGTCATGGACCCGGTCCCTGACTTCTTTCCTGCCCCTACGTGATCTGACCAGCTCCCTCTGCTTCCCCTCCCTCTAACCTGACAGCAGGAACACCGGTGGCTTGGTGCTTAGTGGTTACACATTGGGCTGCTAATGCAAGTTCAGCGGTTCGAAACCGCCAGCCACTCTTCAGGAGAAAGATGGGGCTTTCTACTCCTATAAAGAGTTATGGCGTCTGAAACCCACAGGGGCAGTTAAACCCTGTCCTACAGGGTCACTGCATGGACTCGATGGCAGGGTGTTGAACCTGACATCCCTGAGCAGGGAGGCTCCTGGGACAGATGGCAGAGAGAGAGGAGCTGAGAAGACAGAACGTACAGACCAGAAAGTCTGGGAGGGAGCTGCGACGGACAAGACGTCCAGCAAAGTGTGGCGGGAATGGTGCTGGCCCGGACATCGGGGTGCACCCAGGCTCCAGATGGACCTTTAGAAGATCACACCCCAGGACATCAGTTTCCTTCTTGGGGAAAACGGCTCAGCTGGGAGCAGTGAACTAGGAGGGTCCAGGCCCCTGTGCCTTGTGTAGATGCTGAGCTCTGGAGGGCCCGCCCAGGAGGGTGGGGCTCCCGGGCTGGTGCAGGGCTTGCTTTCCCCTCTAGTGAGGATCCACAGGCAAGAATAGCCAGCGGGACTGAGGTCAGGGAACAGGAATCGGTGACCACCAGGGCAGGCACGAGGAGGTCTGGTGGCGCAGAGGGTTAAGCAGCCAGCTGCTACCCACAGGGGTCGTGGTTCGAGCCTACCAGCCACTCCGCAGGAGGAGGAGGAGGAGACTATCTGCTTCCGTAGAGACCCATGATCTTGGCGACTCAGCAGCGTAGAGCTGGGACGCCATGCATGTGGAGCAGTTCCGAGCAGCCCTGCCGGGACGCCCTGTGCAGAAACAACTCAAAGGCAGGGGCTTGGTTTTAGGGCTCGAGTGGGCGGCACCTTCCATTCCTCATGGGCGGGGGTAGCTCCCACCCCGGGCCAGAATTCCAAGGGAGAAAAGGGCTTCTTAGGAAGCCTTCTCCCTACTTTAGCCCTCCATAACTGCCTCTGTGCGGGGTCTTGGAAGGGGGCTGCCCCTGATAGGACCCCCACCCCCACCCCCTGATCCCTGACCCCAGCACAGTTAGAAGCAGGCAGACAGAGTGAAAGAATGACCCTGGGTTTTGAAGGGACCAGGGCCTGGTGAAGCGTGTAGGTCAGTGGGGGAGTTGCACGACAGGAGGTGCTGACAGGTGGGGGCTGTCCCACCTGGGGTGGGGGATGGGGATCTGATGGAGTAAGGGCTTGGAGAGGAAGCAGGGGTGGCTTGTCCTAGTCCAGCTGCCCCTGGTCCTCTCTCTACAGTCACATGGGACAAGGGGGCAGGGCATTCCCTTCTCCCTCCTGCCTCCCTGCTCACCCACAGCCTGTAGATAGTGCAGAAATGAGGAGTGGGCGATGCCCAGCACCTGGTGCCAGCCTGTCTGCATGCTGTCAGCCCTGGCCATGCCCCTCCATCATTCCTCACCTCCCTGGGCCAGCCTTCTTCACAGAAGGGCCTCTTTCCTCCTTTCTTATGGCAGGGCTCTGAGAAGAAGCCCCCCAACAGTACAGATCTGTATTCTCCCACACACCTCCTCATTCACAGCGGTCACCACCACTCGAGGGCAGCCACGATGAGAAGGAGCCGTGGGTCAGGCAGGCCTGGTCCAGTTCCCAGCCCGGCCATCTCATGCCCTCTGTGTGTCTGGGCCCATGGGCTCGGCGTCTTCCAGCCTCCACTCCTTATCCGTAGAGTGGGGTCCATGATATTTACTGTGGCAGGATTAATGCGTTACAGTTTGCAGTAAGGCTTCGGTGACATCACACCTGTGGCGTGCCAGGGCCCACACACGATAAGCTGGCAGTGTTTCTCCCTCACCTACCAGGTTTCAGAAGCTCCCTAGCACAGCCACAAGCCTGGGGAGTAGGTCCCGATGTTATTCTTGCAGTTTTCCAAACATGAAAACTGAAGCTGTAGACACACGGACACAACCAAATAAACGTTCGCTCATCGACACACAAAGAGCCCTGGTTGCCTAGTGACACGAAGGCTTACAAGTTGGGCTGTGATCCACAAGGTCACCAGTTCAAAATCACCAGCCACTCTGCCGGAGAAAGATGAGGCTTTCTACTCCTGTAAAGAGTTACAGTCTTAGAAATCTACCCTGTCCTATATGGCCACTGTGAGTTGGCATCAACTCGATGGCAGTGAGTTTTCTACCGCCACAGGAGGGTCCCTCACTGTCTGGGCCTGGTGTCTCTCCTGTGCCCACCTGGACCCGCCTGATGACGTGGGCTATCAGAGCCTAGACAGACCCTGGAGACTTCTCAAGCTATCTTCAAGCCTCCACCTCACTGGTCCAGTGAGCCAGGTAGTCACAAGATGGCTAGGCAGCTAGGAGTCTGAGCTCTTGCCAGGTCCCCCCAATGTGTGGGAGAAAGTGGAGGTGGGAAGTCCCCATGGGAGGTCGCCCGAATAGGCCAGCTCCTCTGGCTGCCTGAGGGCAGAGGAGCAGACAGGAGGGGAGAGGAGGGAAGCAGCTCTGTGTGACAGGCCCCCTCTTGGTGCCAGGCCCTCCGGGAATGAGCTATACTTAAACCTGGAGACAGCCCAGCACCTTCCTCCTTCTGAGAGCCCCTCTCCCATGCGCGACACATGGCAAGCGCCAAGGAGAACGGTAGCAGACTACGGCACTTGCTCAGAAACCTAACTGGTAGGGACCAGAGAGCTGCGGGCCCTGGAGGCCATGGATGGAGCTGGTGTGGGTGCAGTGGACAGCGTGGTTGTGTCAGGTGTTAGGGGTTGGGTAATCAACGTAGGCTGCCCCGTGGGCTGACTGTACTCTGCTCTGCCCCACAGTCCCCCCAGAGGACACGAAGATCGACGGCGGCCCTGTGCTTCTGCTGCAGGCAGACATCCCCCACAACCTCACATGCCGAGCCTTCAATGCCAAGCCAGCCGCCACCATCATCTGGTTCCGGGACGGCACGCAGCAGGAGGGCGCCGTGGCCAGCACGGTGAGACCCGCCGGCGCCTAGCTTCTCGTCACGGTTCCTTTCACACGTGGCCTCACCACATACCCGGGGACCCCGAAGGGGCCTTAGAAACCATCCGGCCCAACCCTCTCGTGGACGCCTCAAGTGGAAGTGTTCATGTTACTAGTCAGTCAACGACAACAAAAGTCCCACTGCTAGTTTGTGAATGCTGACTCCTAGCGACCCGATGGGGCAGAGTGGACCTGCCCCTGTGGGTTCCCAAGGCTGTAACTCTTTACAGGAGTAGAAAGCCTCGTCTTTCTCCCTAGGCGCGACTGGTGGTTTTGAGTTGCTGCCCTTGGGGTTAGCAGCCCAACGTGCAACCAGGGCTCAGGAGCTATGACGTTACGGAGCTGTTGTTAGGGATCATCACAGTGGTTCCAACCCGCAGGGACACGGGGTGGGACAGAAGGAAACTCGGCTCCGTCCTGCGCCATTGCCATCATTGCCCCTGTGCTTGAGCCCACGGTTGCAGCCACAGTGTCCGTCCATCTCATTGGGGGGCGTCCTCTTTCCACTGCCCCTCTACTTTACTAAGCCTGATGTCCTGGTTTCCCTGACAAGGTGTCCAAAGTGTGTCAGATGAAGTCTCGTCATCTTTGCCTCTAAGGAGCACTCTGGTTGTACTTCTTCCGACACAGAATTCTTATCATCATAACTAACATTTACTCCATGCCGTCTGAATGCTTAGCCCTGGGAGGAGCACCTTCCGAACAGCATCTCTCCAGGCTCACAGCAGGTCTGCAGGACAGGCATTCTTTCTGTGTCACCAGAGAAGAACCTGAGCGTCAGAGAGGCTGAGTCACCAGCCCCAGGTCATACGGGTGGCACCTGGCAGGGCTGCAATCTGAACCTGGGATGACCTGTGGCTGACACTCTCTCCCAGGTCCTCACAATTGAGAGGGTGACCGCATCCGTTTTTATATACAGGAAGCTCTGGCACAGAAATACCAAGTCACGTTCCCAGGATCACAGGGCAAAGCTATCGATGGGGCCCAAACTCTTCTCCAGGGCTGCATGAAGGCAGCTGATGGTGGAGTGGGTTAAGCATCGGGGTGCCTCACTGCAGGTTTGGTCGTTCGAACCCACAGGTAGTCCTTGATAGGAACAGAGATGGTCTGCTTTACACTGCCAGATTGACAGGACCCGAACCCCTTACGGAGCCTTGCCACTGTCCTGTCGGGTCCCTGTAAGTCAGAATGGACTTAAGAGCAGTGGTTTAGGGATGATGCCTGTTTTCAAATTTGGCAGCTGCACCAGGTGACCTGTCAATGACCATTGGTAGTATCCCTTCCTCGGGATCTTTATGTTAAATCAGAGCCATCCTGGAGCTTCGGGGCTCCTGTGGCCTGGGCTGCACCTAGTCAGACTAAGCAAAGGCAGGACATAGCTGTGGGAATCTGTAGGTCTCGCTGGAGTGAATAAAGGGTTTCCCTGGGCAGTTTGCAGTCTAGGAAACAGCTGGGGGGGAAGGGGGAGGCGGCACCTGTGACCATATTTGGAGGCCTCAGGCCAACTGCCACTGATCCAGTGTGACTGAGCTTCTGAACCCCCTCCCTGCCTCCAGGTGTCAGACACGCAAGCCCACGGGAGGCGCCTAGAGCAGTGTGCGGGCCAGACCAACTGCGAATGGCACGTGTTCAAACAGGGAGACAGTCTTGAGGAATAGGTTGGCCAGAGGACATTCTAGAAGAGGAGGACCTTGGCCTGTACTCAGATGACTCCCCCAGTGAGCCCCCGAGCCACAGGGAGGAGATTGTGGGTAGAGAGGCGGGGCTAAGCGCCAGGTTAAAGTGTCCCAAGGCCCCCTCTGAGCCCAATCTCCCCTTGAGAGCACTCGAGGTGAGGGTTTGGCTTGATCACGGCTCCCACCCCGTTCTCCCCCAGGAACTGCTGAAGGACGGGAAGAGGGAGACCACTATTAGCCAGCTGCTCATTAACCCCACGGACCTGGACATCGGGCGTGTCTTCACCTGCCGCAGCATGAACGAGGCCATCCCGAATGGCAAGGAGACCTCCATTGAACTCGACGTGCACCGTGAGCAGGGTTCCAGGGAGGGGAGAGGGGGCCGGGCAACTATCTGAGGCTCTGAGAAGTCTGAGAATCCCCCAGAGACATCAGGGCAAAGCCCCCTCTTGAGCCTGGGCTGGAATGTGGGGTGGTCCCTGTGTTCAAACCAGGATGCAACTTGGAAGGTACACTTCCACTCTCTGGGCCTTTGCTTCCAGCGCAGCCCCTTTCTGTTCTTGCAGAGGAAGGCTGATTTAGTGGCAAAGCCTGAAACGTGTACTCTGTGTGTGATTGTGGGTCTCCTCCGGACCCGGGGGGGGGGAGAGGGGAGGCTCGCACACAGGATGGTCTGTGCTTGGAAGTTTCAACGTTCTGAACCCCATCTGGCTCCCCAAGGTTTCTGGGGTAGGAATGTGGGCCCTTTCCTTCTTCCCCGGGTTAAGAAATGATAGCGTGTCAGTGCATCAAGCTTGGAGCATGCTACCTGGCAGGTAGATGTTCAATAAATCCGCCCTGCCTAGGGAATGGTAGGGGTGTGGATAGCAATTGAGGGATCCACCCCTGAGGTTCCCCCTCCTCCCACCTCCAACCATCTTTCAGGGAGTCGAATGAGTCCACACTGACGCCTAGTGGTCTCAGTGGGTAATTGCAGCCATCAAGTACCTTCAGGTAGAATCCTTAGTAGGTAGACACCCTAGCAGGCCTCCTGGGAGCCTCCAGTGGGGAAGAGGGGAGGAAGGCCCTGGAGCTGGTACTGAAAACTCAGAATTCCTGATCAGCCAAGCGTGGTGCCTTCCCAGTGTAAATGCTAGGGAAGGGCAGAGAAACCCAAGGCGGTTAAGACCCTGCCTCCGTCTCCCCCCTTGCAGACCCTCCAACGGTGACCCTGTCCACTGAGCCGCAGACTGTGCAGGAGGGCGAGCGTGTGGTCTTCACGTGCCAGGCCACGGCCAACCCTGAGATCCTGGGATACAGGTGAGAGGCGTGGGGGCGGGGCAGCGGCCGCAGTGGAGTTTGGGTAAGGTCCAAGTGTTGCTCCTACCTTTGCATTATCTCCTGCAGGTGGGCCAAGGGGGGGTTCTTGATTGAAGACGCCCACGAGAGTCGCTATGAGACCAATGTGGACTATTCCTTCTTCACGGAGCCTGTGTCCTGTGAGGTCCACAACAAAGTGGGGAGCACCAATGTCAGCACTCTAGTGAATGTCCACTGTGAGTGACCAGATGATGGGGGGGGGCGAAGAAGAGGAGGGGAGAGGGGACTGATTGGGACTGACCCCAATGAGACTCAGACCCTCACGAGCTGCCTCTTGCTTTCTCAGTTGCCCCCCGGATTGTGGTTGACCCCAAACCTACGACCACAGACATAGGCTCTGACGTGACCCTCACCTGTGTCTGGGTGGGGAACCCTCCGCTCACCCTCACTTGGACCAAAAAGGATTCCAACATGGTAGGACTTTTGCCTGCCTATTCTGAACACTGGGGGGTGAGGGAGGGTTGGAGGGTGGTTCGCAACCTTCTTTTCCTCCTTGAACCTGGGCTATCTAGGATGATCCAGAGACCCGGGAGGAGAACAGCCAGCCTGTTCAGAAGCAGGGGAGGGACGCAATGCCCAGGGGTGGGAGGAGGGGCACCAGCACTGTGGCCGAAGCTGGGTAGGAGTGATGCTTCGGAAGGTAGAGGGGGCTAGGTTGATTCCCTAGAGAAAGCTTAATTCCACAGAGACCCACAGCAAATTCTTAGAAACCATTACAATCCTCCCACCTTCCCAGGGCCCCTCCTCCCCATGCCTGCCAGCTCTCTATCTCGCAGAGACAGGCTGTTGTCAGAGTCAGGGGCTGGGCCGGGTGCTTTCGGGGACCTGGGTTCCCTTCTGGGTATTCACTTGTGGCCCTTCCTGCTTTCTTTCCAATGCTTTCGGTGTGGGGCCCACACGGACCTAGGGGCCCAGGCCTCCTGGCTCCCCACCCGAGGCTGCTCTCTCTGCCCAGGTTCTGAGCAACAGTAACCAGCTGCTGTTGAAGTCCGTGACCCAGGCAGATGCCGGCACGTACACCTGCCGCGCCATCGTGCCTCGGATCGGAGTGGCAGAGCGCGAGGTCCCGCTGTACGTGAACGGTGAGTGGGTGGGGCGGGGCAGGACGGGGTGGCCCAGCCGTGCGGGCGCTGCCTGGCCCTGACTCCATCCTTTGGCTTGCAGGCCCCCCGATCATCTCCAGTGAGGCTGTGCAGTATGCAGTTCGGGGGGACGGCGGCAAGGTGGAGTGTTTCATCGGGAGCACGCCGCCCCCAGATCGGATTGTGAGTGCCGGGGACAGCCCCACAGCCGTGCTGCAGGGCTCCGCCGCCTCCGGTTTCCTCCGCCTTTGCTCTTTCCACCGCTCCTCTCTGCCCCGCACGTCTGACCCTCCACCCTCTGCCCCTCTCTTCCGTGACCTGCAATCCCTGGGGGATGCGTAGTTACACGCTTGGCTACTGACCAAAAGGTGGGCAGTTCAAACCTACCCAGAGGTGGCTCAGAAGAGAGGACCGGCACTGTTTACAATCACAGCCTTGAACATCACACGCAGCCCAAACCCATTTGCACTCACGAGGCCCCCCCGTTGAGTCGGAACCGACTCGATAGCATTTGGAATCCATTTCTCTCCTGGGGTCTCTGTAACCCCAACCATGAAATGGGAGCTAATGGCTAACGTGCTCCCGCTGTTAACCGAAAGGTTAGAGGTTCGAATCCACCCAGAGGGGTGCCTCCGGAGACAGGCCTGGTGATCCACTTCTGGAAAATCAGGCACCAAACTGCACCCAGTGGAGTGCAATTCTGCTCTCAGGGAGATGGGGTGGTCCCAAGCCCCCACAATTGACCTGGTGGCTGATTTTTTTAAAAGAAGCTTGCTGTGATAAGTGGTTATTAACAGCAACTGCCCCTGGGCCAGCACTCTGGCTCTCTCTCTCCTCCATCACCTTCTCTTGTTCGGCCTCCTGAGCCTCCCCTAGCCCCTTCCTCTGCCCTTTGCCCTCCCGCTTCCTCTCAGCCACCGGCTCCACTTTCCCCACAGCCCCGGCCTCCCTCTCTCCTCCAGCTCTCCTCCCTCCACCAGTCCACTGGGCTCCTTCCTTCCTACTCCCCCCGCGCCCCCACCATGAGCCATTAATCCCTTCCATGGCCATTAACCGTCAAACCCCTCATCACATTTAATGACCATTTGGCTAACTCCAGGGTTGCCCAGGGACACTTCATTACCATGGCCGCCCGGATGGCGGGAGGCCGGGCTCCCAAGAGCCTTTTCTCAGAGATCCAGGAGGATGGATCGCTGGACAGGAGCCAGGCCTCGCTGCTCCCCCTCCCTGGGCCTCCACTCTGAGGGAAGGGGCAGGCAGGGTGGGACGCCCTGGCAGGGCACTGGGGAAAATTGCTCGCCAGCCCTGCTGAGTTAGTGACAGGGCCAGCTGCAGGTTGGTTAACGGTAAAGTTAGAGTGGAGACTGAATTGGGTTTAGTTTGACTCTTGCAGGTTGTCCACGCTGGAGGAATCCTTGAGCCTTATCTAGCTCGGGTCAGGACACGTTTGAGACAAAAGAGCCAAGCCTGTCCCTCAGAGCAATTTAAAAATGATTGAAGATCCATACATCTATTCTCACAAAAACAAAATAGCTGCGGCCTACTGAAAGTAAGACACCTGTGTGTGTTAATAAGACTTCATCAAAAGAGTACTGTAGATATATATTCACACGTAAGTGAAATCACCATTATCGGAATGATAGCTTCCGTCTAAATGAAACTACGATGGTTTTATTTTCATTTCTAGTTTGACTCCAGAGCCACATGTACGTCCCCAGAGAGCCAGACGTGGCTCATGAGCCACCGTTTGCTGACCCTGGATCTAGTTCTAGGCTGGTCTTCCCAGTTTTCAGGGAGTGAAACTGAGTCGCAGCGAGGGGAAGGAAGGCCACGAGGGGACTCCGAGGCAGAGCGGTGCTCTTAGCTCCCAGCCCAGGACTCTCTCGGAGGCATCAGGGGTCCCCCGAAGTTGGATGGGCTGCATCTGCTTCACATAGGCATCTCTATAAAAACAGACTCCTGGGCCTCTCCCCCAGAGATTCAGATGTAGGAGTGAGGCCCCAAAACTGGCCTTTTCAAGACTCTCCCCAGAGAAATCCCAGGCTCTGCCATGCGTGGAGATTGAGTACCACAGGTCTGAGGCCGTGGGCGTGGCATGCCTTCACGTTTGTTAGAGGGCCCATGCTGGACTGGGCTCAGGACCACCGCTGCTCACGGGCTGAGGATGCCTGGAGGAGGGACCAGGTGACACCTGGCTGTGCATTTCTGCCACCTGCCCCTTCCCGACTCCCTTTGGGCTCTCCCCCACCACAGGCCTGGGCATGGAAGGAGAACTTCCTGGAGGTGGGGACCCTGGAACGTTACACGGTGGAGAGGACCAACTCGGGCAGTGGGGTGCTGTCCACGCTCACCATCAACAACGTCATGGAGGCCGACTTCCAGACCCACTACAACTGCACGGCCTGGAACAGCTTCGGGCCGGGCACTGCCATCATCCAGCTCGAAGAACGAGGTGACTGGCAGCACTGGCTCCAGGACGGAGGGCAGGGCAGCCTGGGCATCTACCCCCCTTTCTCCCCTGGGGGCAGGGCGTAGGCTTTGGAGGGTACTACTGTCTGGTTCTGACCCAGTTGAAGAATCTGCAGTTCCAGTTCCAGAGCTAGCCAGAGGGGTGGTTGGAGCTCAGAGAGAGGGAATGATCTCCTGGGCCTCTCCACCGGAAGCTGGCCTCAGTGTTCGACTGGGGGATGGGCTCCCATTTTTCATAGTGAGCATCTGCTGTGTGCTGGGCACTGAGCTAGGGACCCAGTGCCTGCCCTCAAGGACCAGTCAGGCTAGCAGAGGCACTTACAGAGTGGTGGCAGATTAACTCGGGTGGAGGAAAATCAGGTGAGCCGTACAATAGAGCAAGACGAAAATCAGGTGAGCCGTACAATAGAGCAAGACGACCTATCTGGTTGGATTGTTGGAGGGCTAAATGGAGCAATGTGTCTGAAATGCCCGGCTCATCCCCCAAAACCACACTCCCTGCCATCGGGTTGATTCTGACTCACGGTAACCTTACAGGACAGGGGAGAACTGCTCCTGTGGGTTTCCGAGACTAACTCTTATGGGGTAGGAAGCCCGGTCTTTCTCCCGCCTGGCTCCTGGGAGCTCAGTGGACATTGATCCCCTGCCCCCAAAGCCTCCACAGTCAGGCAACAGAGACGCAAAGGAAGCACCTCGAGCCATAGGAAGGAGGCATTGCCTTTGGCTTTCCATACTCCCGAGTCCGATGAGAGGAAGGCAGCCCTCTGACATGGGAGATGGAAATGACCGATGGGAACCCCTCAATCCCGTCATAGCTGGGGTAGGAAAGCCCAGAGCAGCTGGGGAAGGTGGGGCAGAGCCTGGAGCAGGATCTGAAGGATACCGGAGCCGCCGAGGACATTGTTCTCAGCTCTGGGGGCCAAGGGAGCTGCGGTGAGCCCTAGGTGGAGAGCTGTGGATGGGTGGTCACAGACTTCCAGAGGAAGATGGCAAAAGAGCTGAGAGAACAGATTAGCAAGTCTGGAGATCGCTGACCTCACACAAGAGCCCAGCCCAGAAAAGGAGAAGAATCTGGCGTCTGTGGCAGATGGTCTGGCGTAGGCTAGGCAGATGGACAACCAAAGCCAGAGTGCTGTTGGCGCGAGGATGAGACATGCATGGGGCCGCAGCTGCTGATGGCCCCTGGTGATCAAGCCCAGGCTCAGGCCGAAGTCCAACCTCAATCCCAACCTTCTTTTCTAATTTGGCCTTGCTGGGAGTCCAATACTGTCCATCAATAAGCTTGGTTGGAAGGGAACCGTCCAGCACTATAAACCCAGTACTGCCCATACCGCCTATGACCTAGCCCCCAGCCACCACTGAGCTCAGGCCCCCATGCAGCCCTAGCAGGACACCAGCCATAACTCTGTTCCTTTCCATCCCCTGTGAAGAGGTGCTGCCCGTGGGCATCATCGCAGGGGCCACTATCGGCGCGGGCATCCTCCTCATCTTCTCCTTCATCGCCCTGCTGCTCTTCCTCTACCGGCGCCGCAAAGGCAGTGAGTACGGGTGGGCCCTGCTCCCTCCCGCTGCCGCCCTTCTGCCCCGCCCCTGCCCAGTGGACCCCTCCCCAGGCACCCTGCAGGCGGAGGGCAGACAAGATGGGGGCATGGCAGTGGAGCTCCCCGCCCAGACTGGTAGAGACTCTGTGGTCCAGGCAGCCTTTCCCTGTTCCAGGTCGCAAGGACGTGACCCTCCGGAAACTGGACATCAAGGTGGAGACAGTGAACCGTGAGCCACTCACGATGCACTCTGACCGGGAAGACGATACCGCCAGCGTCTCCACTGCCACCCGGGTCATGAAGGCCATCTACTCGGTGAGGGCCTTGCCCCCGGGGCCCACTCCCCTCTACACACAGCTACACCCAAGACCTCACTCAACCACTTTCCTAGTCTCCTTCCTGCCTCCCCTGGTCCTGGCACATAGGTACACATACATACATGCATGCATAGACGTAGATGCACACACATGCCCCCAACAGGCCACCCCCCGGGCTAAATGCCCTTCAGCACAGGAAGGACAGCTGGCCTTCTCCTCAGGCTCCTTCAGCCTGTTCTTCCCCCACTGAGTGTCAGAACTGGGAAGTCTTGTATTCTGGGCCAGGTGCCTCCTTGCCCAGATGAGGAAGCAGTCCCAGGCAGGAACAGGGAGTGATATGCTCGCAGCCACACTGCAGCTTAGCCAGTGCACTTGGTGCTAGAACACGGGGTATCTGCTGAAAAGGGACCAAGTTTGCCCGTGTCTCCAGCCCCTCCACTGGAAGTGGGTGGGTGACAAAGGGGGCCGTGTAGGGCCTCCACTTTGACACCCACCCACCCCCACCCCCCTGCTGCTGTCCTCAGTCCTTTAAGGATGACGTGGATCTGAAACAGGACCTGCGCTGTGACACCATTGACACCCGGGAGGAATATGAGATGAAGGTGAGAGGAGAAGGCCCCAGGGCAAGAGGCTGGGTGGGGATGTGGGGGTCAGGGTCGGTGGGTAGAGGTGAGAGCAGGCTGGGAAGGAAGTTGTCGGCTAGGGGGCTTCCTGAATAAATGGAGGAGGTCCTATGGTTCTGCCTGGCTGGAGCCAGACCACAGCAAAGACCCTCCTCCATCCTCCTCTCTCATTGCTCTAGGACCCCACCAATGGGTACTACAACGTGCGTGCCCATGAGGACCGCCCTTCTTCCAGGGCTGTGCTGTACCCAGACTTCCGGGCCGCTGGCCCCACTACCCGCTTTGATGGCCGCCCCTCCTCGCGGCTGTCGCACTCGAGCGGCTATGCCCAGCTCAACACCTACAGCCGAGCCCCGGCCTCCGACTACGTCGCTGAGTCCACTCCCTCGGGCCCCGCTGCCCCGGCTGGCACAGACACCACCAGCCAGCTGTCCTACGACAACTATGAGAAGTTCAACTCCCATCCCTTCCCTGGGGCAGCCGGCTACCCCACCTACCGACTGGGCTACCCCCAGGCGCCCCCCACCGGCCTGGAGAGGACCCCATATGAGGCATATGATCCCATTGGCAAGTACGCCACAGCCACACGCTTCTCCTACACCTCCCAGCACTCGGACTATGGCCAGCGCTTCCAGCAGCGCATGCAGACTCACGTGTAGAGCCTGCGCGGGCCGGGCGTCTCTGCGGGGCAGAGGAGAAGGCTCCCACGGCAGTTCCCTGATATTCAGGGGCATTGCTCACTCGTTGCTCCCGCCTTGGGTCAGCCTTCCGCCTCCCGCTGTGGCAGGTGGGGAGCAGGTCTCCCAGAAACACCCCGTCCCGAGGATGGTGCTCTGCGCATGACCCGCCTCCTGGGCCTGCCCACCCCTCTTCTTCGGGCGCACATATCTCTCCTGTCCCGCCCGCTTGCCTGGCCCCACCACGGGGACAGGAAATGTGGAGCTTGAGGAGAGCAGAGGGGGGCCCTTTTTACAACCCCTTTCTGTCCCACCCCCCCTGGTCTTCCATTATGGAGTGGGATTAGGCCCAAGGGACAAGAAGTATGGGGTAGGTGACTGTGACCCAGATAGTGGACAACAGGCTAGTCCAGCCAGCCCCTCGCGTGTCTTGTGTTCTTGCTTGGGGTGCATCTCTCCCACGTCGGGAGATTGCAGATGAGACTTGTTTTCGCTCTGTCTACAAATCAGCCCTGGGACTGAGTTCAAATGCAGCCTTCATTCCAGTGGGATCAAAATGCCAGCCATGCTGGCTGCCCAGTGGACATCGGCCTGCCATCCTGCAGAGGGATTCTAGTGTCCCCTAGAGCAGGAACCACACTGCCCTCCTCCTCCGGGCTGAGCCAGGCAGATCAGCGAGGGGTTGGGGTGGAGAGAGGGAAAGGTCAAGAACCCAATTCTGATTCACCAGCAAAACTGCTGTGCGCCACAGAGCAGTTCCCAAAACGAACAGCAGGGGGAGCCCACCCAGGCAGGCCCCCTGCCTGTCCACCTGCCCCACTTCTGGCTTTCACCTGAGCCAGCTGTCGGGGAGCTATATGCCATTTTTCAAAGATCGCTCCTGCGCGCGCTCTCAATCACACACACTCACACAACAAACAATGAAAACCTCATTAGGAAAGAAAAGCTGTAGGGATTTTCCCACCCAAATCCAAGTCCCGGGACAGGAAAGGGGCAGCGCCTGTTCTTCTCCATTCCTTTCAGTCTCCAAGCACTTTGAATCCATTGGTGTTTGTCCAGGCGGTGAGACCTGTCTTGAGGGAGGGAGCCCGGCGATCTGCCGTCCTGCTCTCCAGAGTCCAGAGAACTCTCTTTCAACAGGTTCTGTTCATGTGACATGTCTCCCCCTCCCTCTTCCCTTCTTGGACCAATCAGATTTCTTCTTCCACTTTCAGTGCCTTGAGTGTCCAGCTTTGGCTGACTGGCCAGAGCATTGTTGACCTGCGTAGGGAGCGGGGACTTGCGAGCCCCAGCCGCACTGTCTGGTTTCCTGGTGTTGGGTGAGGGGCCTGGAACTGGGCCCTGCTAGAGAGCTTGTGACTTCGAGACACGGTGGCTCAGAATGGCACTGCAGGCATCCCACCACCCATGCTTTCTCCCCGCTCCATCCCATGTGCACTTCTGCCACCCCCATGCCCCCTCCCAACACATGCACGTACACATTCCACGGGGCTGTTGCTCAGCCTCCACCTCTGACCAAAGAGAACAGGTGCCCCAAAGAGAATCTCCCCCACCCCAGCCTCCTCCCCGCAAGAATAAGTGTGTGGAGTCGTCAGCTTCTCCCGCTACACTGCTGCAAAGCCTAGGGGGGAGGTGGAGCCTGTTGTGCAACTCCCAGAATGCACCTTGCCCCCTTCTCGGTGGTCACCATTCATTAGTCATGTTCGCTTTAATGAGTTACATGCTCATCAGCCACGGGCCATCAACACCCTTACAGATGGGTCTGTGGGGTGACATTCCCGGGCAGCCACTCCCTGCCATGGACTAGATAATACCCAGGGAGAGACTGGCTCCAGTTCCCGCCACAAAAGCTGGCTTCTTCGTCCTCCGTTTCTTTGGGGAGGGATTCCCAGGCTGGGGGCCCTTCCTGGGGACTGATAACAAGTCCCCAGCCAGTCCCCATCCCTGCAAGCAGGCACCTTCCCGCAGAGCCCTTGTATGTGAGCTCTGTGGGATGTACGTAGGTTGGTGTGCAGACAAATCCATGCACATTTGTTTATTATTTTCACAGAAACCAGGAGCTGTGGATAATCCCAACAGTTAAAGTTGAAAGATAGTGGCTTTTTAAGCAGGACGGTTTGAAAAGCCACCATTTTTGTTTGGAGTCTTCAGGCTAGACTCTTGACTTGCCCCCTTTGGGGGTTAAGTCTTGGGCCCCTTCTGTTAGAATGACCCAGGAGTGGGGCCAAAGATCGCCACGAGGGAGTGCAACCAGTTCAGCAGGGAGGCTGGTGGAGAAAGGTAGCTCAGTAAGCTGAGGTCTGAACCACAGCTAGTTCACTGGTCTCTGCCCGGGGAGGCCCTGTGCAGAGGCGTCGTCTGCCCTCCTGCCATTGGCATACTGGTCTGGTTGGCATCTGACCTGGGACCAGCATGTTCAGCGAAGTGGAACAGTTTTTCTGAGCAACGGGCAATGTGCCTTCGATGACGGAGCTTTGTTAAGGCTGGAGAGTCCTCCCGCATGGACCTCGGTCAGTACTTGTCAACACAGTGACCTTGGTGGTTCAGAGCTCCTTTGACCTTGAGTGGAAAGAGCTAGTAGCACCTAGTTGAGAAGCTGCCATTAACTGAGTGACCTTGAATCACTGTAAACGTTCCTTGACCCCCACCTTTCTGGCCTACAAAATGAGGGCAAAAGGTTGGGGACAAAAAACAAACCGACAATTCTGCGTTGGCTGTATTCACCTGGGAGCAGAGTGGCTCTCTCCCCGACTGGGAATGGGGGACAGTGAAGGATGAGCTGGGCGGGCCACCTCGCTTACGAAGGAGCACGCGCCACGTGCTTCCCCATCATGTCTGAACGAATGTTCACCTGAAACCTGATCGGCCACTGACCAAAAACCGTACCCTGAGCCTCAGAGTGAAACCAATTGGGGGGTTATCCATTGGCCTTTGGGGTGTCTGGGCTGCCCTCCAATCAGAGTTCTGCTGGTTTGGTGTGCAAAGGTGTCCTTGCACATGGGTTTCTTGGCTACATGCTGAGATTTGGGGCAATTTGCCCCGTGGGTGTACCGTCCAGCCCGCTCCTCCGGGTCATTGCCCTAGGCTAGGGACAGCTTAGCACACTCACGGCACAAGGCGAGGGCTGGAGTCTAAGGTGTCAGGCAAGGAGTGAGCGAGCACGGCTGCCCCCTCAGCCAAGGAGCAGCTTTGACGGAGATTCTGGGTCTTGAAGAGGCTCTGGTGGTTCTGGGAGTATTCCAGTCTCGTTCCCTGGGGAAGTCGCCAACCTCCATTCGAAAGACTGGACCCTTCAAAGGCCAGTCACAACGTCTGTGTAGGACCGAAACCACAGAACAGAGAGGCCAGGGTAGGGACAGTGTGAGAGGTGCTCCCCAGAGAGCTTCCTGGGAAGGAAACATTCTTGGGACCATGCTGTTTCGGGCAGAGGACTCCTTATTCCAGCCGTTGGGCCTCAGCGCATCGATCTGAGAGAAGCTTGGCCTGCACTGCAGGACAGCTCCGTGCACTGGCAGCTCTCCCACTGAGCTGAGGGTCCTCCGCCTGGGGCCACGAGGCCTGCACTCCGAAACTGGGGACCTTAGACAGCAGCTGGGCAGTATCCTGGATCCATGAGCGGAGCAGCTTAGGGCCATTCGGCTTTGCTGAAAACCCCCTGAAAGCCAAGTGGCTCCGGTGGACTGGGCGGGCTCATGCTCTGCCTCCCTCTGCAGGGTGGACTTCTGTGCCCACCGCTGAACTCCAGCCCCCACTCGGGGGCTACCTGGCTGCTTCCCTGCCGTTTTTAGTGCTGTGTGACCTGCGCCAGGTCCCCACTTTGTGCCTCTATCGGCCCTTCTGCCTATTGAGGGACTCCCCCAAAAGGCATCCATGAGGGCCCTGAGCCTGGCAAAACCTGGGAGGAGGTGGCAGTGGGGCAGTGAAGTGTACAGACCAAGGGATGTCATTGGAAAGACGTTTATTTTTGTGAAGAGGCTATCAAATTAGCATTTACATATCCCATTCTCTCCTCCCTCCCCACACAGAGCCCCGCCCCTCTCCTCTCAGGACTCTTTCAGAATGACTCTGTTCTCACCTTGGTCAGCATGGTCCTGATGCCCCCTCCTCTGGTCTGGTGGCAAGGACGGAGAGGGAGGGCTATGTGGCTTGGGAGATTTAGGAACTGGGGAGGGGAGGGACAGAATCCCTTTTCTCTGCATCACTGTGAGAGAGCTCCAGGCCCTGTCCCTGGAGAAATCACCGCTGTGCTGAAGTCACAGGCCATATCGGGCAGTTGTGGTACAAGCCTGTCCTGGAAAATAATAATAATATTGACTCTATTTGCATAGAACTATCATTCATTCCTACCAGCCCCCTGTCTCCCGTTCCTGGCTTTTTGCTGGCCCCCCAACCATTGGCCTTCCCCAGTGTTGGTGAGCCACGGGCTCTTACATTCACTTCTGGAGGTCCCCAGAGCTGCCGGTAGCTGGGGAGAAAGCAACCAAATTGTCGACGCAGTCAGCCCGGTGGCTGACTGTCAGCAATAGCGGCCCAGAAGAATGGTGCATCTAATGTCACTAGAGAAGGCCAGGGCTTCTGGTGGCCCTGGGGTTTTCCCCCAGCTCCTCTTGAGATCGCGACCTCGGATTTCCGGCTCCAGCCCTGATACTAAATGGATCCATGATGACAACGACGAGAAGAAAATATATATTATTTTTATTAGGACAGACCATCCTAGATTTTTAGCAGTGTGTATCTGTGTCCCTCACACCTTTTCCTATTCTGCCTTTTTTTTTTCATTTTCTTTTTTTTTTAAATATTATGTACTATATTTTTAGTCTTAAACACACTATATATTATATATTTAATTTTTTATATATATGAAGATCAATGTTTTAAAAAGTATCGTGGCTCTGGCGTCGTTTGTTTGAGCAGCGCTCTCGCGGGGCTTCAAAGCTCCCTGGTGTAATGTGATAAGGGCCGGAGTCTTGGAGCACAGATAAGCATCTGTGGGCTGAGATGATCTACTTGTGCCACCTAGGAATGGTGGGGCAGATACATTGTATTCCCCAGTGTGTGACTGTGGCAGAACCCCCAGGCCAACGGTGGCAGTTCCAGGACAAAGAGCGAGACGCCCCGTGCTCCTGGCAGGCGGCTTCCAGGCTGTTCAGGGCCCAGTCTGATGATGGCGATGGCTCAAGGGGGACTTGGAATCTGAGGGTACAGGGCCCACAGGGACTGGAGGAGGACATGCGAGTAGTTCTGTCTTCGTATATTTAAATGCCCTCAGTGAGGTTAAGGATAAAAAAGGGCTTCTGCCCCCCCACCCCCTATCACAGGCTGAGAAATTGCCTCTCCCGCAGATATGAAGAGCTGGTACCTACATTTTAACAAGCCCCTCCAGGTGATTCTTGTGTGTACAATAACTATCACTTGGGGGGATCTTGTTAAAATGTAGATTAAGATTTAAGATTGCATGTAGCAATCTTAACTGCTATTGAGGCAATTCAGACCCATGACGACCCTATAGGGCAGGGTAAGACCACCCCTGTGGGTTTCTGAGACTGTAGCTCTTTACAGAAGTAGAAAGCCTTGAATTTCCCCTGCAGAGTCATGGGTGGCTTCGAACTGCTGACCTTGCGGTTAGTAGCCCAACACGTAACCACTAGGCTACCAGAGCGCCAATAGCTGGGGTGGAAGAGGCAAATTCTCAGCAGAGAGAGGAAGCGGAATGGACCGGCTTGAAACTGTGAAAGAGTTACCATGTCTTCAACCTTTTGAACTTGCCATAAAGCAACAAAAACAAAAACCAGATGGTGCAGTAGCATGCGAGCACACACACACACACAACGCATCCTCCCGCTGATGCTTCCGAAATTCACTGCGTTGAGTAAAGTTTGCAACGATTTCACTTGGCCCATTCCACAAGAGTGTTTAAGGATAATTGAAATTTTTTTCAGATCATGTTTTCAAAAACAATTTAAGTCGTTAAGAGACGTACAAAGGTTTATTGTTCAGTTAACCAGCAAGCAAAAAATAAAGAGGAGTCCACAGTAGCCTTTTAAGGGATATCGACTAGTCAGAGACAGAGCTAGGCTTTAAAGTTGGGGGGGGAGGGGGCGCGAAAAGCCTCAGAAAGAGGAGAAGGCAGGGAGCCGCCAGGGCTGGAGCTGGCAGGTGTGTGGCCCAAACCAAGAGCTTGCAGAATAGCCAAGGTTAAGTCCAACCTGGATGGAAATGAGAGGCCCAGATGCGGGGTGAATTTGGAGGCCGCGGCCAGGTGAGCTGCACTGGGACAGTAAATCGGACACCGGCCTTGGGATCCAGACTCAAGTAAACAAAATAGAAGGAGGGAAAAGAAAAACAAAAGACGAAATAAGATTGCACAAACATGGGCCCAAACCAAGCCAAACACACTGCCATTGAGGGAATTCTGACTCCTAGCCCCCCTGCAGGGCAGGGTGGAACTGCTCCCGCGAGCTTCTCTGGGACTGACTCTTTACAGAAGTAGAAAGCTTCATCTTTCTCTAGCCAAGCGGCTGGAAGTTTCAAATTGCTGACCCTGTGGTTAAGCAGCTCAACTGTATAACCACGACATCTCTAGGTCTCTACAAATGTGGAGGTCTGCAAATTCTGCCAGGCCAAGAGGCATTGGAATGACGGGGGTGTTTTCTGTGTGTGTTGTGTTGCGTGGGGGTGTGTTTTATACATTTCCCTATCATCAGAGCCCAACATAGAGCCAACAGGTACTTGGGGACATGCCTGTGAACTCTCCAGAGGGCCACACAAGGCTCCAGGCGTTGACTCCCTCTCTGCCCCAGCTACGAGACAGGTAGGGGCAGCTTGCCCTCTTTCTGAGCATCGTAAGGGAGGACCCTCACATCTGTGCCTTCAGTCACCTCCACCCTGGAGACTAGTCACAATGGCACGCCTGTTTCTAGGTGCCAGGGAGGTAGCTGTAACTCATGGGGACCTCATGTGCCATAGAACAAAGCATGACCCGGTTCTGTCTTCACGGTCATTGGTGTGTTGCAGCTATGTGTTTGGCATGACTGCCAACCTAGCGGGCTTGTCTCTCAGGGCGATACGAAGCAATTTTCTAATGTGAGCCACAGGATTTTGTTGGATAATTTTTGGAAGTTGATTGCCGGGCCTTTCCCTTTGGTCTATCTTAGTTTAGAACAGTGGTTCTCAACCTTCCTCATGCCATGACCCTTTAATACAGTTCTTCATGTTGGGGTGACTCCCAACCATAAAATTATTTCTGTTGCTACTTCATAACTGTAATTTTGCTACTGTTATGAATCGTAATGTAAATATCTGATATGTAGGATGTCTTTTCCTTGTTACAAATTGAAGATAATTAAACATAATTAAAGCATAGTGATGAATCACAAAACAATATGTAATTATATATTGTGAAATATTTATGTGTTTTCCGATGGTCTTAGGCGACCCCTGTGAAAGGGTCATTCGACCCCCAAAAGGGTCAAGACCCACAGGTTGAGAACCACTAGTCTAGAAGCTCAGCTGAAACTTGTCCACCCTGGGTACCCCTGCCAGTACTTGGAATACTGGGGCGTCACTTCCAGTATCAAACCATGGCAGCGTGACAAACTGAATGGTGACACCAACAGTGTCTCTCTGTCACTGAGTTTTACAGATTACAAGATGCTTCTAACACCATTCCTTGCGAGGTCTGACTCGCAACAGGAGCTCTGGATCTATGTATAAACACGCCCCTGTCTTCCTTTTGCTACCGGAATGTGATGTCCGCAGTCCTCTCTGCTCTGAACTCAGACTACCTTCCCAAAAGACGGATCCGTTCGCTCCTTTCATGTACATTTCAGCTTCTTCCCCTTACATCTCAGCACCCCATGGAATCAGGCCTGGTTTGTCTCCCCCCCTGCCCTTTCCCCTCTGCGATCCTGCCCGGGTTCTTGTCTCCACCATTGTTTGTTTGTTTTTAATTTCCAAATCCAGCTTATCTGCCCTGTTCTTTTCTCATTTCCAAATCCCACTTATCTCTACTGCTCAGCTCACAGGCCTCCGATAAGTTTGGCTTGTCTCATCCGGGCACTGCCTTCTCCCTCTCTTGGGAGGACCGGTGAGAGGTCATCTGTGTCTCTCTGATGTCATGGACAGCCCCTGTGATCCGCGCCATGTGTCGCTGATGCATTAACCCTTCCCTTGTAAGGTGAACGGACTTGAAGGCGGAGGTCGTCTGCATCACCCCGCCAAGGGCCTGGCACATGTTGTCGTGGTTAGATGCCACTGAGATGACCCTTGTGGTGATGCCACGTGCAACAGAATGAAGTGCTGACCCGTCCCGCACCGTGGTCATCACGGGTATGGATCGGATCGTTATGATTTCCCTTGGCCTTGCTCTTTACTCAGTCTTGGTCTGTGCACCCCAAAGAAGCCTGTCAGCATCCCAGTAGCACCCACACCTCCACGGACTGACAGACAGGCGGTCACTGTATAGGAGGCACGCTGTCTGGGAAGTGAACTCAATCTCCTCTGTGGAAGGCAAGCATTCTCTGAAACCACTAAGGCCTCCCCTAGCAGATGGGAGCTCAACATGCCCTGATGGGATGCAGCATGGGGAAAAGGGAAAGAAAGGGGAATTGAACCCATAGGCACGGTGCATAAAGGGAATTGAACTTGGAGGAGTTCTGCTTGATGAAGGAATATAACATGGTTGGTGATTAAAAGCGTGGGTTTTCAAATCAGTTGACATTCCCAGGACTCACCCAGATTGGTTTCTCTCTTCCCAAGCCCCCAGACTGCTGGATAAGGCCAATGTGACTCATTTGAGCCAATGAGCTATCAAAAGAAAGAACGTGTTCTTTCCAAAACAAAGCATTTGATGACTAGTGCGGGACCATCGTTATGGAGGAGCTCATTTGTTCCAGATGATGGCGCGCCGTAATAGCGGCGTCCCTGCCAGGGTCCCTGAGTGGCCGTGTGAAGCAGCACCCCTGTGCCCGTCCACAAGGAACAGGAATGTGGAGAGGAAAATGAATCGCAGTCAGTTAGTGTTCTGCTGCTCACCCACGGGAGAGGCCTGGGGCTCTACTGGCAAGTCTGCCATTGACAACTCAGCGGAGGGCAGCTTCGTCCAGAGCATGTGGGCTCTTGAGGAGGCACCATCAGCTTGGCAGCAATGGTTTGACGGATTACTGAAATGATGGGGCGGGCCAGCGGACTTGTGACTACAACCTCCCCATCCCATGCTCCTGTACCCCACCCAGCCCTTCGGCACCCCGACGGACACACTGACACACTGCTGTTGAGTTGATGCCACCACGTGGCTACTCCATCAGGAATAGACACCATTGGGGCCCACACAACGTACGGGGTGGGAACTCTCACAGCCCTGTGTCCCAGAGGAGCAAAGGAATCAGCAGAAAGGTCAAGTAGCTCACTTAAGGTCAAGCCGTTTTCACGTCTTCATCTCCTGAGATGGCGTGACTCGAAATGAGAAAGGGGTAAAAAACTACCGGCAAACATCTATGAAGTATGCAGCGAGGATAAGGAGACCAGACGTCCCGCTTTTGGCGGGACAGCCCTGATTTTGGGCGTTTTAAGAAAGTCCCGATTTTTGGAAAGAATGCACGACAAGCTAGGGAATGGTCTATTTGGTCCATATAGACCAAATTTTTA